CCTCTTTATTTTCTCCCCCTCCCCCCCTGCTTTCACTGTACCAGTCCACTGGGAAATTGTAACTTTTAATCTTCAAAACAGTATACATAGAATTTGACAATTTCACCTCCATTGTTTGCCACCTTGGTTGAGGATGCCACTGTTTCTCACCTAGACATTGGAGTGGCCTCCAAACTACCTTCTGTTGTTCTTCCTGTGGCTTCTACAGTTTGTTTTCAGAACAACAGCCAGAGTTGTCCTCCAAATTCGTAAATCTGGTCCTTGCATTACTTTGTCATGGCCTTCTCAAAGCCCTCATCTCAAAGTTAAGGGTGGGTACATCATCAATATATCATTAAAATAAATGAAAAATCATTGCGATTTTAACCTCCAAACTACCTTCTGTTGTTCTTCCTGTGGCTTCTACAGTTTGTTTTCAGAACAACAGCCAGAGTTGTCCTCCAAATTCGTAAATCTGGTCCTTGCATTACTTTGTCATGGCCTTCTCAAAGCCCTCATCTCAAAGTTAAGGGTGGGTACATCATCAATATATCATTAAAATAAATGAAAAATCATTGCGATTTTAAAAAAATACCCACTGATTTACAAAATAAGATCTTAGAAAGTGTATATAAAAAAGGAATACAATTGATGCTAATCCTTTTCTCAATCCACCAGTAAGTAATATTCCTCTGGACATATGACCTAATTCAGAAAGACATGCCAGTTATATCTGTGTCATGAGAAGATACATTACCAATAAAAGTTTACTTTTTATTTTAAGCAAAAATTTATCAAAATTTATAAAAATCCAATTTTGATGAATTATGCCCAATAATTGTCATTGTAACTCAAACCCTAAGATATTATGAAACACAATGGATAAAAAATTTAAATTTTTTATTCATATTTTTGTTGGAGAGAATTATTTGACAGGGTCATCTATAAAATGTTTTCAAGCATACAAATAGCAAGGGTGAGAAATGAACTGGAAAACCTAGCTCAGGGAGAAAAAGGAAGAATGTAAAATTTCCAACTGCTAGCTTGTTCATGAATTTTTTAAATGGATGATGATAGATATCAAATAGCTATGGGATTTAAATTCCATTTGATACATTTAAGATAGCAATTTTATTTTAAAATACTAATACAGTATTCTAGACATTAAATCCTTCACAGCTACTTATGATAAAAATTGTGTGCTTAAAATTGTTTAAACTGATACTTAGATTTTCATATTTTAAAAGGAAAGCATAAATTCAAGTATGAAAGCTTGAATTGCAGTGCTGCAGTAGTATCTATTGTGGAGAATAAAAATATTAATATAAAATGAATGTTAATATATGATAAACAGTGTTCTAAGTATTTGAAATACATATTTTTTTTTGTTTTTTGTTTTTTGTTTTTTGTTTTTGAGACAGGGTCTCACTATGTAGTTGAGACTGACCTAGAACTCATTATGTAGCCCCGGCTGGTCTCAAACTCACAGCAATCCTCCCTAGTACTGGGATTACAGGTGTGCGCCACCATGCCCGGCTTGAAATACATATATTGTTAAAGAATTATCAAAAGAGTATAAGTTGTGCTCTGTTAAAGGTTTATAAAAAGAGTATAAACAGTGTTCTGGTTACTACTATATACAATTAATCACAGCACAATGGTGGTAACTAAGCAATGGTTTTATTTAGCTAAGAATCTTATGAGGTTGGAATATGGGCAGGGTTTTGGGGGGCATTGTCACTTGGCATGTCACAGTTGTCATCCTAATATTTGCTGTTGTCTGGGAACTTGGCTGGGGCTTCTGGTCCAGCTTATATCCAGCTAGGAAGTGTTAAGGTAGTCAGATTTCTTATATGACATCTGGCTTTCCCTGGACTGAACATCCCGAGTAGTGGGTGAAAGTGTGGCCTTTTTGACTTACCTGTGGAAGTCACATAACATCATTTCCACCATATTTTACTGATCAGAGCAGTCAAAAACCCAACTAGATTCAAAGGGAAGGGAAAATATCCTACCTCTTAATGTCAGGAGGGTGGAAGAATTTGAGTGCCATGTTTTAAAACTGCTAGAGGTATGTAATTATCCCTGTTTTATAGATAAGCAAACTAAGATCACAGAGCAAGTGATAGACTTAGAATTCAACTCAAGCAGCCTGACTCCAGAGCAGAGAAGGAAGATGCAACAGCACTACCTCCCACGAAAGGTAAGTGGAGAGCATTTGGAACCCTCTGCCCCCATAGATGAGAAAACACAGATCTCCCCAGTTTCATTGTAAAGACCCTTATTCACATATCTCTCAGGATGACAAAGTAGGGCGTGTGCTCTCAGAGTCTATGCCTTGGAGAGCCTTGTTGCTATGGATACCATGTTGCCAGAAGTTCTCAATGACTCAAGGGGAAGGGTTCAAGGGGAGGCACTGGAGTGACTGCAGCCTGCTGCTAGGGAAGCTTCCTGAGATTCCACAGCCTTATATGGGACAGACCTTGGTAGCTGGTATAAACTTGTCTCACTGCCCTTTGATACACCATTTAGGATTGCTTAGTGCTCAGATTAACCTGAATGCTAAACAGCTTTTCCCTGAATATGGGAAAGACCATGCAGTGTGACTGCTGTCCTCTAATCCTTGGCTTTGCTTAGATAACAGCCATAATAATTCTCAAGGACATCAACATGCTTCCAGAAGAGCTTATGTGCTGGCTACCTCTTTAGGTAGAGCTCTTCTTTCTTCTTCTCTGAATCCTTGAGGGACTTGATTAGGGCCAACTTGGAATGTAGTGGTTGCCACATAACTCTGTGGTAGATACCTTAGGTAGGTGCAGACATCACTGTCCTCTGAGTGAGGGCAGAGGTTGGATCTGTCGCAGGTTCGGAGCACTCCCAAGCTCTTAACCACAGGGCCTTAACTGAACTCTTTGTCTTCAGAGCTAGTTTTCATGTGCACTGAGCACACATTGTGCACGTGTGCACGTGCACACACACACACACACACACACACAACACCAACACCACCACCACCAAGGCTCCGCCACTGTCCTTTCCCCCCCTTCAGTTTTGGCCTCAGTCTCCCTGGTCATAATATGATCTGCATCATAGTATGATGCCCTCCATCACCAGGAACTTTCAGAGGGTCCAGTCTGAGTCAGTTGCGGAGGGCTGACCATTCTTACATTAGGAGTCACAGAGAACTCGATGTGTGTTATGTGGTTCCCTGACATTTAAAGAGCTCAAGTTCCCAAAGGAACATGAAATAAATTTAACATTTTATTTTTAGACTTACATAAGATGAATAACCTTCCCCCAGCATTGATACCGTTGAACTTATTTGAGGAAATTCACATTAAAACTTTCAAAACTCCAAAGGGACTCTAATTAAGAAGGGCAGGTGAGTCTCCAGAGAGCATCTTTTATAACTCTAATATGAGGCTCAAATAAAATCTACCACAATGTACTGATCTCAGATTCCGTTATTATGACACAAAAGTCCAAAACTTCAGTATGGCAAAGTTGTTTTGAAAGTCTCCATGTTCCACGACATCACAGGTAGTGGCTGCTTTACCTCTTCACTGGAGACGCCCGAGATACCCTTTCATTCCGAGCCGCCCCAGCTCAGTTACAGCTCTGAGTGGCAGGATAAGGTTAAGGGAGAGCCGGAGCATGGGGGCAGGGAAGAGGAGGGAAGCAGACACAGAAACATCAATTCAAATTGCGTTGATGACAGTGACTTAGTCTTCTGGGAAAGAACGGACAGGAACGTCCACAATGCTGGCAGCACGGACAGGGGCAGCGGGGAGTCAGATCCCAGAAGAGAACCCCAAGTTAAGGAAGCAGTCTGGATTTTCAGTAGGGGGAAGAGACAGATCTCCCAAGAAAGCCTCAGAAAATGTTAAAGACGGCAGCCTCAGCCCCTCAGGGCAAAGCCAGCTGAGGGCAAGGCAGCTGGCTCTGCTGCGCGAAGTGGAGATGAACTGGTACTTAAAGCTCTGCGACTTGTCCACTGAGCACACCACCGCCTACGCGACGGGCATGCCGCACAGGTAAGCACGCAGGTGAGCACGCCGTGAGAAGCTGTCTCACTGCTCTGCGGAGTGAGCGCTTTGATTTTCCCGTGCTGTGCGACTGTAACAGCCCCGACTGCCTTGCAGATGAGTGACTGGCACCTCGGAACGAGTAAGCTCCAAGTTCAGGAGCTCGATGCGCTTGGCAATATGCTCTGTAGCGTTCCCCAGAAAACTCCTTGTAAAGCAAGTCTCTGCAGACTCTCTTTCTGCTTCAAATAGTGCAAAGGAAAGATAATTTCACAAAACCAAAATGTAATGAAGACGGAGGCCTAAAATGTTAGGATGCCCATTTCCTGTAATTTGTACAAAAAAACTCTTAGGAATTAAAGATAATTTTGCAAGAAATTTTTTTGTGTGTGTGAAGGTAAAGCCCAGTGTAGCTGTTTTCATTAAGTGACAATAAAAATCTGTAAGAAATGAAAAATAGTTTCAATGAAATGGTCAAAATATGGAAAATGTCTTTTATAGAGATTGCTCTAGCACAGAAATCAGTGTGCTCTGAGAAGCCTCTTTTATATTTTTAATTTCAAAAAGGCATTCCAGGAAAACTTACACAGTCATTGAATTAACTGTGGCGCATAGACTAAAAACTTGCTGGACAATATACAATGCCTCAACTTCTTTTAATTTTACCTTTTCCAAGGCAGTAATAAAATAAATAAAATTGACCTTTGATTTATGAATGGCCTGACATACGAACAACTTGGGTTATGACTGGAATGTTAATTTTTAACTTAGGAACAAAGTCTTGAATTATTACCCAAATGCTAGCTGCTTGTGCCTCCAGATGGTCTCACATACAGATTTAACCCTTAAAAAGTTCTGGAAGGAACATTACAGCCTCCTTTTCTGTATGGGGTTAATTGGGAAATCCTGAGCCAATGTCTCTCTAAGGACACTGAGATCTGCCTGAAAGAAAGTGTGGCCTAAAACTATACAGGAAAGAGATTTTGAAGGCAACTGACCAACTTGGGTTATAACCAGCCCTTGGGAACGAATTGAGTTCTTAAGCAAAAGGTCCACTGTATTTCCAAATCTAAGCCATTATCTAAAAATCAACATTTAAAAAATGGGATTTAATCTTCTGGAAGTGTTCTGAGAAATACATGTAGTATTCATGGCCAGAATGACTTCTCCAAAGCTTTGTTTAAACTGCTATGCTCACATTTGGGATACGTGGAGGAAGATAGTCTCACTCAAAGAAAGCCTGAATGAACTTGTCAGTATTGAGAATGTATCTCATTATTCATCTCATGTCTCAAATCATTATGGATTTCTCATATCTATAAATCCTAAAGCAGTTATTAAAGAGCTAAAAGAGTTAAGTAACAAAGGAAAGCTTTGATAATGGTTTCCTTCCATAACTATTCCTCAACTTACTCTAAACCAGAAATTTCTATTTAAGGGGACTAATGCTGGACCACAAAATTTCTGCACTATTCTCTGACATTGAAACAGCGTTTGTCAAATCAGAATGGAGTATTAGTTAAGATAAACATTAAATGGAGTACTATTCAGCCATAAAGAATGGTATGGATGCACATTGAGGTCATACTCTTAAGTCAAATAAATAGGAGACACGTGTAAATACTGAATAGTTTCTCTGGTGTGAGAAACTGCAAGAGTAAATGAGGATCACAATATATAATAGATAATGTAAAATAGGAAGAAAAGACCCAAAAGGAGAAGTAGGGAGTGGGATGTGGAAAAGGAAAGAAGGAAAGGAAAAAAATATGAGAAAAGAAAAAAAATGGAAATAAAGTTTTTGTGAATGGGGGATGTGGAGGGGTGGAAGGGAGGAAGGGGAATGGAGAAAAAACAAGAACCAAGATACATCGTGTACAGGTACAAATTCCCAATGATGACTATGATCATAGTGTATACCAAAAATGTACCAACAAACTTAATGAAATAAAAAAATAGCCAGTGAGAAACTGTTGGGAAAAAAACAAATCTCTGCTCTTTCCTGCTTTACTTAAAACAGAACTTGTCTTGTAGTCTGAAGAGATTGGATAAGACATGACCAAGAATTAATGTTTTCCATGATAATCTAAGGGACAATCAGTGACTGACAGTTGTTTCGTGTGCCTCCTGCTTCTTGAGTGCATTGAAAAACAGTGAAGGTCCTGTCTACTTTACATCATCAAATTAAAAAGTCCCATCCTCCTTTATTTTTGTGACATAATTGTTTTCAGAAGGAAACTAGTGGGTAGTTGCAACTGAGTTCACTTTAAGTTAGATAAATCTACTGCAGAGGTCTATGCTGCATAGCTCAAAAAACTAAGCAATTCTTCTAATTGCCAACTCCTTTCCTTTTTATGTCCTATTTGGAGCTACCTACCTCTGTTGAGGTTACTGAGCAATGATCCATGCTGCAATCTTTGTGAATTTTAGTGTCACAAATAGAATATGTGATTCTCATTTTCATTGAAGTGTTGTAGGTTGGCTCTCAATAAGTTCCAGAAAGTTTTTCTGGGCTTCTATTTGTGTTTTGTTTCAAAAGCCTGGCTTGAGAGTTGCATTTCTATTAGAGACCTCTGTGTAGAAGGTAAGTATTATTAACGTATAAAATTTCAAAATATTTATCCATTTGTGAAACACTATTTATAGATAGAATATAATATAAAACTTACTGAAGGGCCCTTAGACATTTCATGTTTGTTAGTGGCAAGAATTCTGTGAGTTAATAGTCAACAATAAGGAATTGCTAATGGAAAGACTCCAGTTTCCTTTTTGGGAAGATGGAATGAAAATGTTTTGCAACAGGCTAATTACTGTGTGGCTTTTGAAGATTGCTTTGTATCTAGATGCTATGATAACCTACATTTGAAACCAAAGATGTTGGTAAATGGTTGGGAGTAAGCATCAGAGGTGAGGGGTGAGCTCACAGTACTGGCATGTCTAAGAAATAAAATGGCAGGAAGCGGGGCCAGAATGCACGTGTCTTGTGAAGCAAATAGTCCTGATCCCTCTTCTGGCTGTATCTCTGTAGGGTTATAAGATGAAGCACACTTTGCTTCATATTGATTTATGGGCTGTTTCAGAGCTGTCTGATGACCATGGGACTGATGTGCATGGCAGATCATTCCCTTACATGCCCAGGGTGAGTGTCGCAGGGGCAGAGCTGGATTTGGAGGAAAAGATTGGCTTTTCCCCTTAGTGCCAATATACCTGTGGATATGATTTTTAAAAAATGTATCATTTTTTCAATAACATCTTTTTTCTTTTTTTTTTGGTACTGGGGATCGAACTCGGGTCCTTGCGCTTGCAAGGCAGGCCACAGAACCGCTGAGCTAAATCCCCGGCCCCTCAATAACATCTTTTTGATTGCTAAAGTAGCATTGATCTTTGCAGAACATTTTGAAAACAGAAAAATATAAAGAAGAAGTGCCAACTATTGTTAATATTTTGGTGTGATTTCCCTGACCTTTCAAATTGAAATCATGCTATGTTTTCTGTTTATGACCTTTTCCTCCATTTAATACTATACCTGTCTATTTTATTATTTAAAAAGCTATTTAAAATTTCTTTTTAAGTACTGTATTTATTATTACATTATTGTGTAGCCATTGTTCTTTTAATTATTATTTCACATTACCATCGATAATATTACAATAAGCATCTTCATATTTTATTTTTAAAATGTCTGGTTCTTTTTTAGACTATTTCTAGAAGTGGATTTAATGGGGTGTATATACATATATTAAATATATTTAAGAAATTATATCAACATATTTATTACACATATTTAATAACTATATTTAATAAATATGTTACATTAAATAAACATACCCAATTGAATAAATTATATGTATAATTTATTTATTCATTCATTCTTAACGCATATCATGCAGCTGATTTCTGGAAATGTTCTTTTTCTCAATGAAACTTCCCACTGGCAGTATCCAAGGGTGCCTATTTCACTAAGTGGTATTTATCTGGAACCTTTAAGATTGAGTTTTATAGTTAAGTAAATTGTTGGATAAATTCATGAATTTTTTCAATGTCAATTTCTTCAACTGCAAAAGGAGACTAGTGCCACTGTATAGAACTATAATAAAAATTAAATGAATCAATGTACAAGTGATTTGAGGGAACAGTGTGCTTTGTTTTCACACTTTCTCCAATAGGAACTGAGGTATGATCCGTATCGTGCATGGTGCATTTGAAGCTTATGAAGATAATTAAGGATGTGTGACTCTAGAAATGTTCAGCAAAAATAGGTACTTCATTTAACACATGAGAACTCAGCAGCCTGTTATGAACAATATTTATGAGAGATAATTTTTACTAAGCATTTTTCAAGGATTCATATGATAAATATGCTCTTGAGGGAAAAGTGAGTTGGGGATAGAATACAAATAGTTTGAAAGTCTATTGGTATTAACCTTCCAAACAAAAGCTGACTGCAACTATTAAATTGAAATTATTGGGAACATTTAGTGGGGTAAATAAACCTGTGAGTGAAAATTCAGCTACAGCATGCTGATAATGATTTTACAATCTTAATGCTCCTTATTATCTAAGGCAATAGTTATATTGAGCTACATTTCTAATATGTCCTTTTTCTATTATCAAAACTGGCTTCCTAGACAGTGTTCACTCGTTTACTTCTGGAAGACCAGAGGTATTTCTTTGCAAGCACAGGCAGTTCTCCAAGGTGAGTTTTGATGGATTCAGTTCCTGGCAACAAAGCAGCAACTGATCCAAGAGCTGAGTGGTCTCTGAATTTATGCCAGATTTGAGTTTATGCAAGAAGATAGTGAGATTAGTGAATGAGCATTTAACAGCCATTGGTATCTTCTTGTTCGAGGCCTGTAGCTGACACAAAAATGAACTCACACTGAATTTGGTGGCGTATAGTCTAGGAAGGATAAGACATGTACTTGTAAGTGTTACAGAAAAGAGACTCCTAAGATTCGAAGGAAAGAGTGAGCATTCACAGGAGTGATCGGACAAGGAGATGTGCCGAGCTGGGGCAGAAGGAAACGGGGTTGGGGGGCTGCGGAAGGTGATTCATACGGAAGGAAGGGGGAGCAGGGGTACAGACATTTGGAAGTTTGAAATGGAGTCGGAGATCTGCTTTTGTTCGTGAGGCTCCTGTAAACACTGTGGAAACAGGCTGGGATTTAGTGGTGCCGCCGCCTGCCTTGTAAGCATAACGTCCTGAGTTTGATCCCTGGTACCAAACAAACACAAAACACGTCATGGAAAGTCCTTGCAGGCTACAGGTGTCATTGTGGCCAGAAGAACAGGCGGAGAGGAAACCACTCAGAGACTGGGGAATTGGGCAGAGACCAGGCCTGGAGAGGAGACAGTGTTAGGGTATACTCTAAGAAGGAGCAGTGAAGGGGAGGTGACCAGAGAGTACTGAAGATGGAAGCGGGGTGTAACTGCGTATGGCTCAGTTGTAAGTTTATAGGAGAAGCCTTGACTGTAGTTTGTGTGTGTGCGCGCGTGTGTGTGTGTGCGGGAAGGAACCCAGGGTGATAATAAAGCAGAGTATAGAGCAACATCTCCAAATGGTAGAAGCTCTTGGATATCAAATGCTGCTGTTGTCTTCGACAAGGAGAATGTTCGGTGAGGCTCCTGGATGAAGAGCAAGCCCCGGAGTCCTGTGGTCTTCAAAGTGCAGCCCTGAAGTGCTGCTTTCCAGTGCCGAGGCTCTGAGCAAGCCGCTTGCCTCAGAGGGGCAATTGGTACGGGGCTTAAAGCCACAGATACCGAAACCAGCTGCTAGGCTCAAGGCCTGGCTCTTCCATGACCAGCTGTGGGACTTAGTTTTCTCATCTATAAAAGGTGAATGATGGCAACGCCAATGCCGTAGCGTTGTTAGGGCGATCAAATGATGTAAGTGACACACAGAACAGGGCCCGAAACAGACTAAGTGTGTTATAATAAAAGCCATTAGCATAGTCCATGCCCTTGTTGCTATCGTGAGACTATTTTTGGATCTGCCACAATGAACGATACTTCTCTTTTATGGATTGTGCTTATTCTGATTTTTTACACAGGTGTAAAAATACTTAGTAAATAAACCTTTCGTGAAAGATGGCATGAAATGATGTACAAAGTATTATGAAAATTGTCAAAGTTTAAATTTCAAAATGGTTCTATAAGAGACACATTGACATTAGTCTAATTCAGAAGACTCTCCCTCACGTTGGACACACTTATTCTATCCCTCGTGCCACTTTCTGAAGCAGTTCTGGAAGTCCTTTCTCCCAGATGTGGTAAAAAAAAAAAAATCTATGGTGAATTCTGCTGCTGAGTGCCATCCAATGGAGATGCAGGCTTGTAAAACTATGACAGTGTGTCTCCGCTACTTTATTCATTGGGAATGGCCCTGTGGGACTTCTGGCTCTCCCTCAAAGTCAAGATGACCACGAGAGGTTAATGTTTGGATAATGTGACATCGAAGCGTCCATAATACAGCAACTAACAACATGAAGACTTTCTGAACTGCTTCAGAAAGCGGCAAGCATGATGAGTTAAGGGTGTTTAAATGAGGAGGAGGATTTTGGGGGGATTGATGTTGTGTCTTTTACTGTAATAAAATTAAGGAAAAAATATCTTTAATATTCACCATAGTTTTCGATTATACCTCAGGAAAAAACATCTGGTGTAAACAATTAGTTTTGACCCCTTCTTTCT